CATCTGTAATGAAATCATGTATAAACCTACATTTATTAACAAATTAATTCCTAATAAAACACCATCTGCAAGCAACCTTCAGTTTCCACTTGATATAAATAGGCTTTTTTACTGTTTTCAGATGCAGTTCCCCAAATTCTTCTAAACCCAACTGCAGAACACAGTACGTTTTTGTTTTTGTTTTTGTTTTTGGTTGCCTGGAATGTTAACACATTCAGTAACATGAAGTTTATGAACAAACAAATTAGTTATTAGACTGACATGCCTCAACTGAAAAGCTGATCTTTTGCAATAAAGTTCATTAGATTTGTAGTGTCCTCATTTTTGATAACAGAAATTCTAAGAAGTATGCAAATGTTTCAAGGATGAGAAATAAAAATCTCCCAACAATACACACAATGTTCATATATATATATATATACACAAACACGGGTACACATACTTGCACATCACATTTCAATAACAGTTTGTGATCTCTCAATTCACAGTTATAATCTTATTTTCTTACTTGTATATTTTTACCATGGTGTCTGTCTTATGGCCATTCAACTCATCCTGGCTCCCCCACCCTCACGTGCACTTCACTGACATACATGTCAACCTCCTGTCACTAGAGCCAGGGAAAGAGTTGAGAATGTTCAAAGAAATATTGTGATTGCTCCATGGATATGCCTTTTTGGTAATAACTCTAAGTAATGCTATCACTCATCAAAGACGGCTACACTGATTAGGGACCCGGAACCTAGTGCCTGAAACAATTGGCGCCAGGAACTGGGGCTGAATTCTAATGCTAAGTGCTTTTGAAAAGTGCATCAAGATTTAATAGGGTGAATTTTAGACTTGGTCAGAGTTTTAGCCACATAAATTCCATTAGGTTCAAAGCTCCATAATGCTCCACCCTGTCTATATTTATGCCCACATTTTAATCTGCATCTTTCTAAGCTCTCTTCTTGGGTTGTCTAACCTTTCATTTCCTTTGCTTCTATTTTTGATTTTCACATTACCCTTGAATTCCATATATGACTCTGAGTTTAGGGCTCTAAGCCTCTCTCTACCCCTCCTTTGAATCCTTCCTTGAAACCTATATTTTAAAATAATTACTTTCTTCACTGATCTCTTATCATGACTTTATTGCACCTGACCCATTTTTCATACAGAGCTCTACCAAAATCTATTTGTACCATCACCACAGGCTGTATGCACATAGACTGCTCCTTGGATAATCATCTCCAGAGCTGATGACAGCTCAGACTCTTTTTGAAAATGTACCTCTCATTGGTGTGCTGGAGAATTGAGTGAAAGCATGAAGTCATTTCTGAATCTAGGTCAACCATTTTGTGAATGTATAAGAGAGAGGATTACAACGGAGTGGATCTCACTGGGTCTGTGATCTGTCACTCTGCTAATGAGGTATGAAAACAGGCTGACAGTCTGTTTTATGGGACAGTGCTATTTCCAGACCAGTCCTGGCTGTGTGAGGAAGGAACGCGAGCAGACACCAGGGCAAGAGAAGGGACAAGAATGATATCCCTACTTCCCATCATACTCCATCTTTTTCAAAGCAAATATCTTTTTGGTTTTTAAGTACTAAAACCCTGTATCGAGTCATCCAATAGAAATTAGAGCTAGGATTTCTCAATGACTGTACAGAAGTGGGGCAGAGTAAGAAGCAGGCAGACTACAACTGAAAAAAAAATATAACTGATGATGGATTTCTTAGTAGTTCTTTCTCTGTGTGCGCGTTATTTGATTAACATAATAGCTTAGAAAATGCAATCAATAACCATTTTTGAAATTCATTCATTCAATAAGCATTTATTGAATATCTATCATGTGCTAGGCATTTGCTGGGTGCTTGGCATACAGAGAAGAATGAGACATTCCTTGCCCTCAAGGAGCTCACAGTCTAGTAGAGAAGACAGACAGATAGCTGAATCACTACAATACAATGGAGTCAGTGCTAATCAGGGTGTATAGAAGGTGCTAGAGTAGCCCAGAGAAAGAGGTTTGTAATTAAGCTGGGAAAATCAGAGACGCTTTCACAGAGAAGGTGACAACTGAGCAGGAATGAAGGAGAAACAGGACTCCACCAGGAAGACAAGGGAGGTTGAGAAAAGTCATTCTAGGCTGAGGGGACAGCAAGCCAAAACGCAAGAAAGCGTGACAAAGCATGACATGATGGGGAACCACAGGTAGCTATGGTTGGAATTTCATCTGCATATGAACAAGTGGTGAAATATGAGGCCAGAAAATGAGTATGAAACAAGAGAGTGAAGAGCCTTGTATGCACAACTAAGAAATTGGGACTTTTTCCTGGAAGTGATGAGACAGCATCAAAGAATCAAAAGCAGTGGGTGACATGGTCAGATCTGCCTGTTAAATGATCCCGAATGGAGGATGGTTTGGAAGAGAGGTGAGACTAGAGGAAGGGAGACCAGTCAGGAGGGGGTCTCACAGCAGTCCAAGCGCGAGAGGCTCATGGGCCAAGGGTTTGAAGGCGATGGGGATGAAGAAGATGTGACAGACTGGAGAGATACTTAGGAGGAAGTTTGACAAGACTCGATAAATGATGATACAGAAGCAAAATCACTTCAGAAATGAAACAATATTTAAAACATACATCCAGAAAATACAACCGCCAGCCCCAGGCCTCCCTCCCTTTGTGTTCTCATTGTCCTCTGAAATCATCGCATCTGCTGAGGAAGAATAAAGGCAGAAGAGCCAGAGGGTTCATAGGGTCAGACTTCCTCTAATTCAGATACCACTAACTTGGAATCTGCAAATTCAGGCTTACTGCCTGTCACTCCTATTGAGTAAGAATTACAACCCACTTTCTTCCTCTGTGTCTTTTCAAGCCATAAGTCACCAGTAACAGGAATCCAATCTAAAGGCAGTGGCTTCGTCCAATCAAGCGTTTGAGATGCAGTAGGCAGCCGCTTACATGGTGGTGTCTGAAAGGCAGCCCCATATTTGCCCCCCACCCAGGGGCCACAAGGCCTGGAATCCAATCATTAGCGATTCATTCCTTTGGGAGAGGCTTTGGTCCCTCTGGACTTCTCTTTTACAAGGCAATGATTCCTGAGATGGGTAGGATATTTAGTCATTCTAAACCCAGTGAGATTTTGGTTGATCATAATGCCTTTTGCTTTGACAGAAGGGATGAAGGTAGAATAAGAAGGCTATGCAGGCACCTGTGGTGATGCAGAAGGGAAGATTGAGGAATACGGAAGATGACATTAAGCTCTTGCCAAGGAATAGTCCTGCAAGCACTCAAGAAACTAAAATTCTTAAAGAATGCCTTCCACTTCAGGTTCCAGCAAATCACACTTGTACATTCTTGTACTTTAAAGAACTTCTGTGTTTTATGATTCTAATATGCTATTGGTTAGTGAAGGCCTATGGTGACTCACAATCTTTTCATAAACCTCAACTACTTACGACCAATTAAAATCCCAAATGTTATTAATTTGTACCTAACATTACTACAAATGCTTGTTTTGAAGTTATTTTATAACTCCAACTTTTCATTCATTCACTCAGAACGACCTTGTATTGTGTCATTCCAAATTAGGGAGCTTTAACTGTATTCGCAGGGTGTTAATCAGTCATGTCACAAGTGACAGAAGATCAAGAATCAGACTCTGACCTTGAAGAGTTGTTTATATGGTTCAGTAAGGTAAATGAGAGCTGCTTGTGAGTACTTGATTATAGAGGTTAGAGCAGTGAACTAAAAAGGAAAAAAGTGAAACAAAGCAAAACTTTAAAAATTACTTACTTCACTTGTTTGGAGGATCGTGAACTTTGGCAGTTTAGTCTTTGAACTGGCTGCACTGGGTTTTCCATCCAAGAGTGTACCAAATGACAGATTCCCAAAGCTGTTCTCGAATTCAATTGAAGGTTTCAGTGTTGGAGAGATGTCCGGTGTCTGGTCCTGGCCATCCATGGGTCTTACATATGCAGTTGGCTTTTGCTGCCCCATGCTTGTTTTGCAGTAAAGCCCTGGTGGGAAGTTTTGAACTGAAAGGCCACTGCTGGGAGCTAATAAAGAAGAGGCAACTAGGGGAGACCCAGGCGCTTGTACTGTAAATTCAGACTCTTCTGGCGAGTTGGATTGAAAGATTTCTTTGAAAGCATCTTCTCCACTGGACTTGGAGTTGCTGTCTTCCTTGGCAGATGGATTTGAACCTTCAACTGCTCCAATCTGGGGCTGTTGAGCTGGGTAGACAAAGAAGTCTTCCAGTCTGGCTTGAGGTTGGTCCTGTGTCAATGTCTGCATCTTGTTTGGCTGACTAGCAGCCTGGTTTGCCGAGATTGTGCTAAGGTTATGACTATCTCGCGGCCATTCAGGTTTCGATTTTCTGTTGCTGTGTATTAGAGTTGAATTCAGTATCACGACAGAAGGTGGAGGCATTGGTGTTGAGGGATGAGTATTATCCTGGTGAGGTGGGATCATACGGTTCTTTTGCTCTGGGAAAAAGCTTGATTCATTTTTGTTGATGGGAGTCTGGGGCACAGAATTCTTTGGGATTCCCACTAGATGATTCTGATTAGAATGGTTAGTTAGCAAATCCTTCATTTCATCATAGTTTCCAAGCGTGTTCTGGACTCGGTTGGCAAGTGCATCACCTTTGTTTGTCTAAAATAACAAAAAGATGGGGGTGGGAGGAGAGAGAATGAATAGGTTTGTGTTTCCTAATGTTAATGTCTTAAACAGATGTCCTAAGTAGACTAGCATACAGGGTTCTTTAAAATTGTCATGCTGCCATATAATTTCATATTTTTCATGTGCTATGTAAGAAAAAAAATCAATAACACTATTGAAAGAACTTCTCGGAATGAGCGGGAATGATTAATGTCTGTATACTCCCTAGTTTGTCCTTAAACATGCTCATTGAGAGAAAGTTTTAAATTATCTCATTTATTAATTGTATTAGAAAAATAACTTATTTTTAGTCAGATGAGTTGAATTGTTACATTCTATATTGTGATTAGCAACTTCTGCTTACTGATCATTGGAATTATAATGGAATATTAGAATTATACACGTTTTGACCCATCAGCCTTTGCACTACATTGTACCATGAAAAAGGCTTAACCCATTGAATAAGGAAGTCTGTTAAATTGTGCTATCATGACTATTCTATGTTTTTAAAATCATGGGACTAAACATCTAATTGAGCTCACTTATGACTAAAGTGAATCTACTTCCTTTTAATCAAAGAACTGTATAAATTACTGGTATTTGCCTACATATTCTGGGGGCGACTATGTTTACATATTGATGATTCATACTCATTTACTTTAAAATGGTGCAATTGTTCATCAACAGTGACTCAAGCTCTCCTGTGTCTTTTCAGTGATTTAGAAAAAATTGTTCAATAATTTAAACTGTTGCTTAAGTAAATCAAAACAAGTTATGCTAACCTAATGTGTAAGAGTTACACAGGCAATCAAATCATTCTATGGACAGTCAACATACCAGCTACACCATCCCCTATAGAATATGCTAATCCTTTTGAAATGGCTATGATTGGTTTTAAAAATAATTAAGCTCCTGCGTGGGTCTTTGTAATATGGAAAGTGAAGTTTTCATGACTAAAAAGTGGTGGTTAGCTATATACGTGGAAATGATTTTTATGAAAGCTCAGTTGTTCACTCTAGAAAACAACTTTCTGTATTCTCTTTACATGCTAAGGAGGTTATTGAAACAAGCTGTTCGGTGTAGAAGTGCAAAGGGCACTTTAATGCCAAAGTTGCACTCTCCTGGCCCAAGATGTTGCAATGAAAGAAGGTTACTGATATTCAAGGAAGCATCTGGCAACTGGACCACTGTACGGAAAAGACACAACCCTATGTGGTCTTCAGGTTGCAGGAGTCATAGGCATACTCTCCATGCACAGGAGAAGACAACCACTTCTCCACTGGCTCACTTCTCCATTGGAACTGAAGACAGTTTTTTCACATCTAAGGTTTTTTGTATAACCTTAAAATGGCCCAGTTTTCTGGTGTCCACAGGGAGTATACCTATCCAAGTCTGCTATCTCATTCTAAACCTTGGTTGTATGACTGTGTGCTGTTTTCTGTATGTGAAGATGGGAGAATATGCAGATGGATGGAGGGTGAAGTGTAGAAAATGGATGAAATCAATCATGAAAAGAAAATGTAGAATGAGAAGATCGAGTTTGGGAGAGAACCCTAGGAAACATCAATTTTTTTAGAAACTTGGAAAGGAAGAGGAGCCAGCAAAGGATACCAAAAAGAAACAATCAGATAAAGAATCAAACCAGAAACCTCGACCTTGTTATTAAAATGATTTCCATAAACTGTATTAAGTATTTGACTCATACCATGTGTGTGAAACCATAAAAGATATTTCCAAAGAAATAAGGGCAGCTGAAGAAATATGAATTGCAAAGATTAAGGAAAAATATGTTCAATAGATGCTAAGGGAGCTCTGTGGTCAATGGGGAATTTTAGAAAACAAATAAATACATGGCAATTTTAGTTTGCTTATAGTCCAGAACATCTTATATTGCATCATATGCAACCTTGGTGCTGAAGTAGTGATTAAGCAATTAACATTTCTTATAATCCATAGCTACATAACTGCTCTGTTTTCAGAAGTACATCTGAAAGACATATTTAAAACATATAGATGGGTAGAAATCACTTTTGCTCCCTAAAAAGCCTATAGGTTTGTAATTTTTAATGACTGAAATTACTTTTTAGCAAAGACAAGAAAAAAAATCTTTGTATATAACATCTCCTTCAACTTAGTTGCACAATGAACCATTTTGGACAGCAGCCAAAACCAGGCTCTCTATTCAATTCCTAAATTTACAATAAGGAAATTTCATTGTGCTGATGGTCAAACAAGCATCTGATGTAAATTTTAAACATTTGCTGTGTTCTGGCCACTCAAACAGATTACTTCTTGGGTCAGATGACTACCTAATGAACACCGATTCCAGGCTATATTTAAGGATCTGACCCAACAAAGGAAAGCAACACCACTTCCCATTTGAAATGCCTTAAATTTAGTATCTGGCTTTCACTGAAACAGAGTTCCACAGAATCAGAACCTTGCTCCTAGGTGTCATGGAGATCACCACAATACCTCAATGCCCTGAGAAACTATGCTAGTCTCTTTAGGCCAACCTCATCAGTTCCAGAGGACTTCAAGACTCATTTGTTTGCAAGAATACTAGTCACATTCCTGTTCTTATTTCAGCAGTAAATAGAAGAGACGTATTTGTCTTGTCCCCAGTAAGGAGAACCTTGTCTAACTTTTAATGTCTCTTCATTTATGTTAACTTTTATAATGATCTGGGTTTCTGATGCATGTTTAGACCTTTTTTCCACATCTAGGTTTTAAAACACATTTGAAATTAGAACTTTGAAAATGGTCAATGCTTAAAGCTGTGTCTACATGAGTAAAGTTAAAGGGAAGTTGAAATGTATCTCAATAAGTTGAGAAAAACAACCTCCTACTATATGGTGTAAAGTCGAGTTATGATTTATTTCACTGAATATACCTATGAACTTTTAAAGGTCAGAGACTACCTTTTATGTACCCAAGGTATAGCACCATGTCTTGTGCATATTAGGTACTCAATAAATTGTTGCAGAATTGAACAGAATAAATTATAATTCATACCCTGCCTATGTCCAAAATAAAAGTCTTGCAATGGTTTAGAGTCAAAGGTACATGAGTAGAAAGGAAAAGTCAGTAACTTGGTTACTATGATTGAGCATTAAATTGAACTTTGAGCTTCCTGGTAACTAAGGCAAAAGGGACAATTTCATAGATGGAAGGAAGCATATCCTAACTCATTAAATGAGACAAATGGTTGCCTCATATTAAAATGTGAAAAGCAATTCCTCCCATTTGTTTGTTTATGAGAAACTTTCAGCGATAAAACAAACATTTTTCAGCACCAATTTCCCAGAAGATGCAAAGATGTTTTTCGTGTATCTTTTTTCTTATGATGACTAAAATGCAGAAGCCTTATGTTAAAGTCTAACTCAGTGAAGGCATGTCTGCATGAGCACTTGGAGATCTAGAGTAATACAATCCAGGTGTGCAACTTTCTTGTGCACTGGTGACACTGGGATAAAACTTTGATAACCTAGAGGAATGGAGGGCTGTCATTTCCCTTAGTCTAACTTCCTCATAGAACAATTGTCTCAGAAAGACTTGTGATAGGAACCGCATAGCACTCAGTTCAAGGCTGAGTTCACTGGTGACACTTTCTGAGTTGCTGATTGAAGGAAGATCCATATGCATTGCATAACAGACGTGCCGTGGCTACAAGCAGGAGTTACCGTAGTCATTCTTAAGACAAATACCGGTAAATTCGAGACCCTCCTGAGGCAGGGTTAGGCATGTAGGACACACGTACACAGAGCCTCAAGAAGCCCACGACTGAACAATCACCACATAATTATCAGTCCAGTTCAGGTTGCCAGAGTACATTACCTGCCTTCCCACCAGTATAGGTGGATAACTATCAATCAGTTTTTAAATATCTCTAAATGTAGAAACACGATCCATTGGATGGAATACCCAGTGGGGCCTGAAATATATTTATACACACCTACACAATGTACTCTCATTATACACCATAGCAACTTCTGATTCACACTAAATGTTCTTTTTCGCCCTCCAGAGTCTTAGTAATCCTATTAAGGAACAAGGTATTCTTGGAAATCTTGATTGAACATTATAAACATGACAAAAGTGAAATTTAGCCATTTCAATCAATTATGTGCTTTTTTTCAATTTGGCCAATTCTTTACTTCCCGTTCTAGATAATTGGTTGATTCCTTAAAGGTAACCTCTGCAGTCATTATTTTCTAAGTAATCACAATTTCTCTATCATCAAGGAAATGCATTTTCCAAGTATTTTCATGCATAAATTACATGTCTGGTTTGTGACTCATGACTAACAGCACTCCTTCATTTAAGCTTTTTGCCTCTTATTACTTCAGGAAATACAAACTTCCCTCAGTTTGCTTCTAATGCTATCTACAAATTAGTAGTATAATTCCATCGCAAGACTAATGTGCTAGGAGGCTATTGTACCATAGTATTTCTTTTTAATAAAAATAAAAAGACAATTTAAGTTCTGAAGTTCATTTTTCTTTTATTTCATTGTGGCTAACATGTGATTTAGTAATTCCTTTTTTTCTAATACTAATATTTTTACAGTTAATCTCTCTAAGCTGCAGGTTGTTATTTCTTTCTTTACTCTAATTATAATAATGACAATATTTTCAAGTTGAATAGCACCATATAAACCAGGTTTTAAAGTAAGGTTTCCCAGGTCATTTTATCCTTACAACAAGAATGTGAGTCAGCAGAGTAGCTCTGGCCTCCATATGACATTTATCTGCCCAACACAAATGACCTCTCTGTCCCTCAGTTTCTTCATTCTCATTGAGCTGTGAAGAACCATAAAATGTTACTATTTTATTACTATCAATTATTGTGATTCACTCCAGAAAGGAGGAAACTATGGATCAGAGAAACGAGTTTCTCCTCCACAGTCATCTGGCAGGCAAGCTTATCAAGTTTCTAGCTTCCTGTTATAACTATAGAATCACACAGAACTGTGTGAGAGGTCTAGATTCACCATATACAAGATTGTGAAGCTGCAAAGAAGCCACCCAACTTCTCTGAGTTAACATTTTTCACAGAAAATATGGGGAAAATGCTTACTCCATTTGTCATAAGGACTAAATGAGCACACACATAAAGCCCTAGCACAGTGCCTGACACACAGTAAGCACTTTATGTGTGCCAGTTCCTCACCAATCCTTCCACACTAACCTAGACATATCAGATGGTTTGATACTCTTCAGGCATATTTGAAGACATCCTTTACAAGAACATAACACAACTTAGATTTGAAAGTCACAAGCTACAAAAACTGACACAGAGAGAAGTTCCCTGTGACCAACCAAATCTGGGAGTGGTCAACATTCTTCTCATTCTGACAGTGGTAAAGATGAAACCAAGAATGGGGAAAAAGCAATAAAAAACAACTGAGATAACCATTTATCTTTCTGCCAAGAAATGGCAGTAGATCCTAGGGACTGGTGTTCACACTGGCTAGTTTGTGAACAACCAATTCTATTGGACAGGTGATTTGGCCATGTTTTAGGGTTCAGAGTAGCTAGACGTTGCCTGAAATTCCTGATCCACTACCAGGAATATTGATTTTTAACTTGATATGTATTTCCACTACAACCCAGGGAAGAGATGTGGTATGTCCTCGTTTCTGCCAGTGGACCATGAGCCAGCTCTAGGACTCCCTTTGCCAATGGCATGTCAAGAAACCACAAAGGTGTTCAGCCCAGTCTTGAAGTGGGAGTCTTTGGAGGTACACATCAGTTCTAGTATTCCTCTACTCCTCATTGCTCTCCCAGAGAACTCCCGAATGTAAACGGCACAAAATGACAACCGATTATCAAAACAAAGGTGAAGGGAAAGAATTACTAGGTCACCAATGATTAGCAATATTCCTACCCTTCATAGTTTTTACTCAAGAACAAAGACTCTTCCCTACTAAGAAGCACAAAGGCAGCAAACTATTAATCACACGACAGGCCTGGCCATGCACTAGACTAAATGTTCCCATCTGTGTCTCTACCTGATATATCCGTATAGTATCAAGACAGATGGCTTTGGAAAACTTCTGAAAATGTTGGTAACACCTTTTTTCAACTGTCTACTCAAAAATGCACTAACATCTAAAAATATTATGCATCTATATGACAGACTTTGTGAAGAGATAGCATTTACCTTAGAGGTAAAAGACCATTAATTTGCCATGATCTAAAATTATGAAGGGAGAACAAATGAAGAGTTCTTCACTTCATAACAGTGTTGAATATAGGGTAAGTATTGAATTTTATGAATAATGCCTTGGGTAAAGCTACTTTTTCTAACCTAATCAAAGATAAAATATAAAACATATCTGGTTATTAATGTTACACCTTGAGAAGAGGCAAGATGCCTGCTATGCTTTGATCTCCCCTCCATTTTCTGGACAACATGGAGGATGTCACTTCTTGCTTTTTTTCCAAATCTTCCTTCCACTTACCTGCATTGTTCTCATTCCAATGTTTTGTCTCCATCTTCCTCCCCATGGCTCATAATTCTTTACCTGTTCTCCATCTTGTTTAAATCTCTCCACTCAGCATCATTTATCTCTCCTATATCTTCAACCTTCTCTTTCTCCAATTACTTTGGTATCGTCCCATCAATTTCTAATCACACTTTTCTCTCATTTTAAAAAAACAAACTTCCCTTCATATAATTCTTCGTTTTATTTTCTAGCTTATCTTTCTTCCTTCCTTCTTCCATGCAAAACCTCTCTGCAAAATCAAGTCTACATTGACTCTCTCTCTTTCTTAATTTAACCATTTTCCATTTACTCTCCAACCCCTGGCAGTTTGGCTTCCCAAAATGACCACCACCATCAACAAATAAAACGACTCTCCTGAATGTCACAAATCACCCCTGAACTGCTAGATCCACCAGTCACTTTACTGTTTCTACTTTTCCTGACCTCTCTGAGACATACAACTAGCAAATCTTTCCTCCATAAAATCTTCTGTTCCCTTGGTTTCTACTAAATGTTATTTCCTAGTTTTCTTCTTACCATTCCAATCACTTTTTTTTCAGGTTCCTTTCCTGGTATCTGCTTTCACTATCTCTTTTATCATTTAAATGTTGCTACTCTCAAGAATTCTCTCTTTGCTCCTATTCTTACTGCATATCTAACTCAGTGATAGTAGTTATTCTCACAGCTTCGAATGCCACAGCTAAATCTCTCTCTTGATTACTCTCATGAGCTCCAGACCTATATATCCAATGCCTACTGGATGACTCTCCCTTGATATCCCACTCGCATCTCAAACCCAACATACTGAAAACTGAGTTGATTATTACTTTTTTCTCTATAAGCATCATCCCTGTTCTCCTCCTGAACAACTTGCTAATGATACCACTTTCCTGTCAAGTAAAAAATCTGGGAATCATTCATTCTTATGCGACACAACTCACATCCAATTATATGCCCAATCCCATCATTTCAACTTCCTCGCTCTACCTTAAATTTGTTCCTGCCATAACCTCCCCTCATCAACTACAATAGCTATTTTATCTCCTTCTAGTTTTCCCTCCCTCCAAACCACTCTCCACATGCCCAGCATCATCTTTCTAAACTGTATATCTGTACTGGTCATACTCTGACTTAAAAACTTGCAATGACTTATCATCATGTACAGAATTGTGTTCAAATGTCTTGGAATGAGTTTAAATACAAGGTCTTTACAGATCTTTCCCCTGATATCTCTCTAGCTGTCACCATGCAGTCAAGCCTCAATCGATCATGATGATATCTGTCACTGGATTAGGAGTTCCTTGCAATCAAAGATGATGTTTTATTCCCCTTTGTACTCTAGCCAAAGACAGCAACTAGCATATAGTGAGCCTTCAACAAATGTTTATTAAACTAATCATATATCTAAATACACACATTCAAAAGTAGCATAAAAATAAATCAGGCTGGGAGTGGTGGTTCACACCTGTAATCCTAGCACATTGAGATGCCAAGCCTGAACTCAGGAGTTCAAGACCAACCTGGAAAACATGGTGAGACCTCATCTTTATGGAAATTTTTTTTAAAAATAGGCAAATGTGGTGGTGCACACCCATTAGTTTCAGCTACTCAAGAGGCTGAGGTGGAAGAATCACCTGATCTCAGGAGATCAAGGCTGTGGTGAGCTGTGATTGCACTACAGTACTCCAGCCTGAGGGAGCAAGTGAGACTCTGACTCAAAAAATAAAATAAAATAAATCAGATAAGATAGGAAAAATCTTTTTTTAAAATGAATTACTGACTGCCTGAAAACCAGTAGCTTAGGCATCCCATATCTCTCTGTAGAACTTAATATACTTGGAAGGTACCCAAATGCCTCAATCACGAACTGCTTACTTGCTCTGAACAATGTAACAAGACTCCAGACTCACTAGTCACCAATTCAAATAGCTTGCTCTCTACCCAACAGTAGCATTTGAACTTATGTTGTCCGCTTTAAGAACTCTCCTTTTCTAGAGTAACTCTTTCTTAAACAGTGCTCTTCTTAAATCACGGCTCTTGAAATTTTTCTCTATTGTTGTATTTCTTACATCATTTTTGTCTCATTACAGAAAATTACACTGCCACTAAATTTCAATAAAAACCAACCAGCTGCCAGCAATTCAATAAGATTCTTCCATCATAATCTCTTTCTAGTCACCCTTCATCTCCACCCCAAATAGAAAGTTCAGAAGCAGTCATTGTAAAATCAATACTTGTAAACATAGCAGTTTGATCGTTATTGGAGCTACATACTACCCAGAATACCACTAGAAAATAAACCTAGCTATACCACCCTGCTCTGGTTGAGACAATCTCCTAACCCATGATTATTAGCCACCAGGAAAATGATTGCTTTTTCCTTTATTCTAGAACAGTGATTTTCAAAGAGCGCTCAAACCACTGAACTGCTGCTAACAACCTAAAATGGAAAAGGAAAGTGATGGCCTTGCAATGGATGGCCCTGATTGGGAAGAGAAACAGACATCTCCATTGACATTCTGATGAAGTCTTCAGGGGCTGCCTACTGACAATCAAAGCACTGGCAAGTGTCAAGGGGGTATCCCTTGCTATAGGAAGTGTTGTGTAGCAAGGGGTTCATCGGAGACAAGTCTCACTTGTCTTTCTCAAATCTCATTGTACTCCCCCAAAGAAGATGTAATTTGTTTCTGAAGACTTCCTCAGACATTTGCAATTGCCTCAAATACTTGTATGCATATATCTCACTTGTAAAATATATTATCCAGGAAACTATTTGAAGGCTTTAAACATAAATGTCGATTAGTGGGTTCAAAAATGTAACAAGTAATAATATTCTAGAAATAAAAATTACATACATATTCAGCTACCTTGTAGGGCTCCCCAAAAAGATCAAAGCCTGAAGAAAAGAGATCATCTTCTTGCTGGACTTCTTGATTCCTCCGCTCCCATTCCCTTTTTTTAAGTGCATTACGGTCTTGTTCATAGTGACTGATATGAAAAGAAAAAGACAAAAGGATTAATTAGTCATGTAAGTTACTTAAATATTCCTTGTCATCAATAAGAAGGAAAAACACTCAATATGTTACACAAGTTGACACTGCATAGAGAGCAGAGGATTCTTTACTCCTAATGTGTTTTAGATCCTGACTGGCTCATCAGAATAAAGAAGAAATCAGAAGCTTGCTTATTTGAAATTATATTCATGACCATGGAAGTATGGTGGAATCCTCTTCCCTTGTCCTTGTTTGATTATTACAGTCAATTACATATTCCCCAAAAGTCAACCCCCAATGCAGAAAGGTACTGAACTAAAGTAATATTGTGTTGCCAAGGTTCAGAATCCACAGAGGTCATAGGGTCCTGAGGGAGAAGAATTATCAAAGTATGGAGCTGCAGATAAACTAGAATTCTATTCCAAGTTCATAGCCAGAGTTAGCCTATTTTAATGAAATCACAGGAGAATTTTTTTCTTTTGTATGTTTTTTTATTGTAAATATGTGGGGTACAAATCAGAGTTAGGTATACAAATGTTCATTATGCAGGTACCCTCTTTGATGAGGTGTGTCCCCCAGTCCCTGGAAGTTTCCCACTATTGTCACTCCTGCCCCTGCCCTCCCCTGGCAGTTTCCCACTACTGCCATTCCCTTTCTTATAGTATTATGATGGTTATTCAAGGTCTGCTTATGAGTGAGAACATGTGATACTCGGTTCTTTGTTTCTGTGATAGAACACAGTATTGTAACCTCTAAGTTCATCCAAGTTGCTGTGAAATTCATAATTTTGTCCTTTTTTTATGTCTGCGTTATATTCCATCGTGTATATGCACCAATCCTCTTTATTTTTTATCCAGTCCTCTTTTGATAGGCAGTGCAGTTGATTCCATGTTTTTGCTATTGTGAATAATGCTGCAAAAAACATGCGTGTGCAGGTATTATTTTCATAGATGATTTGAGTTCCTCCGGGTATGATTCGTAAAAGATCTAAAAATCCGCCTCCCATACAACCCCACAATTCCCCCACAGGAGATTTTAAGGGCATTTTTGGAAGTCCTCTAGAAAAAAAAAATCACTTAATCACCCATACTCCTTTTAGTTTGATTGTTGCAGTTGTCTTCCCATAGTTTGCTCCAAAGGTAAATGAAGATCTTTTCCAGAAATTCTTCACAGAGAAAGGAGTTTTACTTCAGTAATAAACTACTAACTGAAATGAATAATAATAAAAAAGAGGTGCCAAAAGCGTTTAACGACCTTAGTGTGCAAATGTTTTATAAAGACGAAGTAATTTTGTGACTCTCATCACATTTCAGGCTTTCCCATTGGAGGAACAAAAGTTTCTAAAGAGCATTTAAAATATGAGAGGAGACCAACAAAATTATATTTTGGAGGGTGGGCTCCTTGTAGCATAAGCTTCCCCTGCTAGGTAAGTTTTCTAGGAACCCATTGTTTGCGAGAGGTTGCATTTGGCTTCAGTGACTTTTTTTTTCGGAGAGACTTTCAACATGTTTGCCCATTACGTGATGGGTGATTTACATGAACAATCTGTCCACACTGCACTATGTTCAGCAATTTTTTTTTTTTTACCAAAAATGGCATGACCTCTGTGACCCACCTGCCCAATTCACTAGAATTTGCCTTGAGTGGCTTTTTTGTTGTTCTTTCCACAGATGCAAAAAGTCCTCAAAGGGAAACATTTTGCTGAGGTGGAAGAGGTGAAACAAAAAACAGCAGAAGCACTAAAAAGCATCAAAATGGATGACTTCAAAAACTATTTTGAGCAGTGGAAAAAGCATTTCGATAGGTGTATTGCATCAAATGAAGAGTACTTTGAACGTAACTGAAGTTTAAAAGTGTAAGAATAAATACACTATTTTTTATAAATAAATTCTGTGTTTTGGAGGTTCCTCCTCATAAATTCTGACCTTTTGGGTTTTCTAGAATGGAATGCTTCCTCATTAAGAAAAAAATTATTTTTTTCATCTTACAAGACTAGGCAAATTAAACCATTATGTGTAGTCGTCTTATAGCAGTGTATTTTATTTTGTTCATTGGGAATTTCCCCTGCTTTTGATGCTAGCTTTACTCCAAATGAGCACATATACACTAGGCAAATTTGAATTATATAAATGTACATAAAATGCCTAGTAGGTGCTGTATAAATGTTGGTTTGCTTCCCCATGTTAATATTACCATGTTAAGACTTAGTCAGAAAATTGACATGCAAATGAACATAATAGTGAAAGGAATTACAAGAGATGTACCGATACAAAAGTACAGTTGACAGGTTTTGAATACATCCAGAACTTTAATGCCTATCATTGGTAAGCTAGTTTGCTCATGAGTATCACAACTTTAATTAACGAAATAAGAGCCTAGAGCACAAACTATCTATGTAGCTTAACTAGATATTGATATATATACATGGAGCATAGGATGTCACTACACTTAATCATTCACCTTTCTCCACAGGAATCCTTGAACTGTCAAATTCAAAGTGACTTTGATAGCTCCATCTTCTGGATAAACAACACTCATTTCCCTGTTTTAAAATAGTGGCAGCATTCATAGGATGCTTAAATGAACATTACTCTTTCATCATACAAACAATGCCAGATACATAAGAGGTCACTGTACCACTCATGAGTATGTTCAGTAAATGTTATCACTGTCTAGGAAAAGCAAAGACCACCTGTAGAGCCCTACCCCAAGCCTGGGCTCCACATCTAGGCCCTGTCTGGTGAAGAAAGATGCCAAGTCCAGATTACTGGAAGTCATCCTGTCATATATAGGCTCAGACACTCTTCACAAGTGTTATGTTTTCCAGCATTTTCTTTCATTTCCACTCATAATTTGAGTTCAGAAGCCCAAACAGTTGTCGTGTCCCGATGTCTTTGTGCTGAATAATGATGTGGAATCAGTTAGGCACAGTAACATCTTCATACCATTTAGTGTGGTACTTGAAACTGTACCTCAACACCACATATGTACTCTGTGTAATCCAAGTTCATCCATTTGCGCAAATGTAAGAAAGATCAAGCACCAGGAGTGGGGGTGGACTAACAAGTTAAAGCAATATTTAGTGTGGGAGTATTTGTTACAAAGGAGAAGGATGCTTGATTTCTTTGCTTTCCATAGCAGAAGATTATCCACACACAAGCAAGAACCAAAGTCTCCTGTTTCTGAGTAATGTGAGCAACACGTCAGTTTTCTAGCTATCTGTTCATTTCGTGCACCTGACAGCTCAGAATGACAGGCCCATAGATCACATTTAATTCTCCCATGAAGAGAACTGAAGTACTTTGGTCTCTTGGCTTTGCAAACTACCTTCCTTCTCCTCTGAGGGAAAGATATAATTAAAACCCTGAAGGAAAAAAAAGGAGAAGGAGAAGAAAAGGAAACGTGCTTCAACGTGCATGACAACCCTTCAAGCGGCCAGCAGCAAGGGCACATTTCAATGCTTTAGCCCAGCTTTGATTTGTTAGGAGGCTCTTGGCTGCATTTTGCATCAGTTCATTAGCTACCAAATTCCAGACGCAAATTTGAATAGCAGATTGAGTGTGCACGTGGGTGTTATCTGTTGCAAGCAAAACTGCCTGCTGCATTTTTTAACACATCCAACAAAGAACAGTTAATTCTCATATCTCTGACGAGAATGAATTTAGTCTCCACAGAGCTCCACTGCTCTTGGAAGGCAACCAAATATCTCCAACTTTTTCCTTTCTCACTCAGCATGGTGTTGTATTGAAGGCTTCACATGGCGAGGTTTAATGAGGAATGAACTACATGGTGATGAGGCTTTCAGTTTATAACGTCACTGATTTCTGACTGAAACCAACATTACTAATTTGAAGCACCAGCTAATTAAAACCACAGCTATGTATTTAGCCTCTTGTTATACCTACTGCAGTTTATAATTATGAGGACCTCTTTATCTACTCAATTAACGTTCTTATGATTCAGACAGGTTGTGTTTGAACCTGTGAGCCCTGCAGAGGCCGCAAGAAAGCATGTCTCTCCCCTGATAATTTGATATAACTTTACACTTCCAGGCTTGTTTTCCAAAGGAAAAATGACTCTATAGCCCACAAAGAAGTGCTCAAGTCAGAAACCCAAACTCATCATCATATCATTGGTCTGAACAATCCAAGTTTATTAACAGTGATGAGAACAGGATAAATTGATCCTGTCAGCATCAAACTCATCTTCATATTGAGAAGTTACACCAAAAAACTCAACTCAAGGAATCGCTGCTCTTAGCAAGTTAGGATGTTTTCCCAACGTTCTTTTCCTGTATATATACAAAGACACTGGTCACATTATGATGATATAAAAACCAGTGACCACTCAAAACCAAATTTACTATGTATCAGTCAAAACCTTTGGTCTCTCCCCCTCTCTCGCTGACAACCACACTAGCTGGCAGGAAAAAAAAAGACAGAAAGAAGAACAAATTTCATTTAAGTACTCCTGTTAGTTACTCTGATGCAAGGTGTGATAGTGAGATGCTTCTGTCATGGAACTTTTAAATATTCAATGCAATCTCACCCACCTGTGTGCTTCTCTGACCTCCAATAGCAGAGAAACTGCCCTCGTTTACAAAGGAGGAAACTAAGACCCTTCTAAATGAAAAGCGGGAACTGTCTCAAGCTCTCATTAAGCTAGTGGCAAAAGAAGATTTGAACCTGTGTCTCTTTCATCTTCAAGTTCAAGTAATTTCTTCTCCTGATCTTCACCTTCTCTCAGACACTCTTCTATCCTTGTCCTGAAACCTAATCTTGTATGCAGGTAACTCTCATTTTGCTCATTAGAAGTCTCAAGTACATTCATGGGACAATAAAACCCAGGGCACATGTAGATTCCCTGAGATCTAGAAAGTTCAATTATGCCATCTTCATTAGCTCACAGTGGTAGCCCACTCTGACTGAAAATGCAGGTTAGTCTTTTAGAACAGAGGCTGTTAAAGCAGGAAGAGAGTTTGGCAATCATCTAGTT